GTACCAAGCCAGGGCCCAAGCTGGACGCAAATCACATCCTCCACCCGTGCGCAGGCAAATTCGAGCGATGCCCCCTCCTCCTCCTCCTCCTCCTCCTCCTCCTCCTCCTTCCTCCTCCTCCTCCTCCTCCTCCTCCTCCTCCTCCTCCTCCTCCTCCTCCCTTTGTTACGAAATCTGGAGTAGACGTCGAGGGGATCGGAGGCACGGGCCCCGTGCTCAAAGGGAGGCGCACCCTCCACCCGTGCAGCCGTGACACGGCGAGCGGCCTCTTGGGGAGGAGGAGGAGGAGGGAGGAGGAGGAGGAGGAGGAGGAGGAGGAGGAGGAGGAGGAGGAGGGAGGAGGAGGGAGGAGGAGGAGGAGGAGGAGGAGGAGGAGGGAGGGAGGAGGAGGAGGGAGGAGGAGGAGGAGGAGGAGGAGGAGGAGGAGGAGGAAGTCCCAAGCAAGAGCCACATTCCGAAGCAGAAGGGTCGTCCGTCCCGGCAGCTGCTCCAGGCTTTCGGGGCGGAAGTGCGTGGTGCGAGCCCCTCTTTTCCCCATATCCTAAGATGGGGTCCTTGTTATTGGCGGACCGCGCCGGAGGAACACACACAGGAACCCACCTCACCACTCAGGCTCAGTCACAGACTTACTCTCATCAGTCAGACTCGGCGTCACTCATCGCTACTCAGAACCAGTACTGATCAACTCATCAACTCAGTACTCAGTCATCACTCAGACTCACACATCACTCAGACTCACTCACCACTCAGGCCCACTCATCTCTCCATCATACTGTCTAACTCACACTCATCATGCTCACTCGTCACTCAGACCCACTCATCATTCAGGCCTACTCGTGATCTGTCATCATTCAGACTCAGTCATCACTCAGACTTACTCATCCTTATTAGGTCTTATACGCAGATGTTGAGGGTGTCACAGGCGCTTCGCTGGTTTCAGCACTCTTAAGGGGGGCGGCGGGGGGGTATCTCCCTCGCCCCGTTCGCGCCCAGTTTGTGGGGATGTCTCAGGCGGTTTGGCCATTCGGTTGCCCCAACATGTCCGCTTTCGGAGCAGATTTGGGAGGATGTCCCAGGCGAATCGCTGGTTTCAGCACTCCCAAGGGGGGCGGCAGGGGGGTATCTCCCTCGCCCCGTTCGCGCCCAGTTTGTGGGGATGTCTCAGGCGGTTTGGCCATTCGGTTGCCCCAACATGTTTTTCTTTCGGAGCAGATTTGGGAGGATGTCTCAGGCGATTCGCTGGTTTCAGCACTCCCAAGGGGGGCGGCAGGGGGGTATCTCCCTCGCCCCGTTCGCGCCCAGTTGGTGGGGATGTCTCAGGCGGTTTGGCCATTCGGTTGCCCCAACATGTTTTTCTTTCGGAGCTCACGAACAGGAAGGGGAGCAGGAGGAAGAGGAGGAGGAGGAGGAGGCTAGCATGAGCACGATTAGGAGCAGGAGCAGGAAGGGGATGCTGATGATGATGATGATGATGATGATGATGATGATGATGAGGATGATGAGGATGAAAATGAGGATGAGGACGAGCTATCCCAGCGCTGGGCGCAGGCTTACGATACGTCCACGTCGTGGCCGGCAATGACAGCACAGTGGTTCTGAGAAGCGACGGCGTGGCAGTAGCCCACTGTTTTTTTCTCAGGTGTAGTTGGCATATCTTGACACCGTCGCGGCAAGGGGTAGGCTACGTGCAAGCTGCTCTTGGAAACATGCACTTGGCATTGCTTAGGAGCGACGGTCAGGTTATTGCAGACGGCGACAATGTGCACAAACAGTGTGACATCCCAAGCATTGACACAACTGTTCATTACACGCAGGTTGCCGCGGGTGAGAGCCATACAATCCTGCTCGTGAGCGACGGCCACGTCGTTGCATGCGGAGACAATGGGCTTCGTCAGTGTGAGATTCCTCCATTGAGCCCAGGATTGCGCTACACGCAAGTATCCGCTGGGGGGACGCATAGTGCATTGCTCCGGAGCGACGGCATTGCCGTCGTCTTTGGTGATTTGTGGAAGAGTTGGTTGGATCGCGAGTGGCACCGCTGCGCTAGTCTGACATTCGAACCTGGCGAGGGTCATCGCTACGTGCACATAGCCTCTGGCATTGATCATACGTCCCTGACTTGATACCGCCTCTGCTTCTACAAGCATCTTTCGAAATAGAAACAGCGCGTTTCCTTACAACTGGCGGAGAGGAGCGCTGCAGAATCCAAGCGCGGCCCGATGTGCCGGTCGGAGACATCTACTCTCATCTTATGGCCGCGCTCCGCGGCGGCAGACTGGGACTTGGAATTAGGCAAGTCGATGCCATTTTGCCTGGTGGCGGGCAGCTGAGCAGCCACTCGAGTCGCGAGACAGTGGCCGGCGCGTTCGGCCTCAGACGAATGCGCTTGCATGGCAAGCGCAAGTCCCATGCGTATTGGGCGTGACTTCTCCATTTTATTCGACATGTGTCGCCTGCGCGCGACCGCGCGCCAGCGCCGGCGCCTGGGCCCGAATCCGAG